CCCGATAACTGGAAAAAGGGAAATATAACCCCCATTTTCAAGAAGGGGAAAATGGATGATCCAAGGAACTACAGACCAGTCAGTCTCACATCTGTGCCTGGCAAAATCTTGGAGCAGATTCTCCTGGAAGGCATGCTAAGGCACATGAAAAACAGCAAGGTGGTTGGTGACAGCCAGCGTGGCTTCACTAAGGGGAAATCCTGCCTGACCAATTTGGTGGCCTTCTATGATGGGGCTACAGAACTGATGGACAGGGGTAGAGCAGTTGATGTCATCTACCTGGACTTGTGCAACACGTTTGACAATGTCCCACATGACATCCTTGTCTCTAAATTGGAGAGACATCAATTTGATGGATGGACCACTTGGTGGATAAAGAACTGGCTGGATGGCTGCACGCAAAGTGTTGTGGTCAATGGCTCTATGTCCGGCTGGAGACCAGTAACGAGTGGTGTCCCTCAGGGATCGGTGTGGGACCGGTCTTGTTCAACATCTTCATCGCTGACATGGACAGTGGAATTGAGTGCGCCCTCAGCAAGTTTGCCGATGACACCAAGCTGTGTGGTTCGGTTGATACCCTGTAGGGAAGGAATGCCATCCAGAGGGACCTCGACATGTTTGTGAGGTGGGCTAATGCCAGCCTCATGAAATTTAACCAAGCCAAGTGCAAGGTCCTACACCTGGGTCCTAACAATCCCAGGCACAGTGGAAACCACTTGTCTGCCAAAGCCACGTGCGATCGCAGTAAATACAAAGACTGGGTCAGAAAAATGTCAAGAAATGTATTTACAAAACAACAAAAAATAAACTAAACAACAAAGAACAACTGTTTTTCTCAAACATACAACTCTTCTACCTAAAACTACAACTATTCTACCTTAAAGTACAACTCTTGTTCTTAAAACTACACCTATTCTATCAAAAATGACAACTCTTACAGAAAAATGAACAATCTTCTTAAAAAACAACAATCTTCAAAGAAAACAGGAGGTCTTCTAAACGAAACTTCAAGCACCATGAAAACTTCCCTCTCCACCAGCCCTGGAAACAAGCAGCACAAGGTCATTTCAGTGAGGCTACTGATGGTCATTGTGTTTGCCACACACTGGGTAGGGTGGGACTCTGCCACAGGGCTCAGCCCTGGCTGGGGCTGGAGCCAGGCTCTATGCAATCAGACTCGGCTCGCGTGTCCCAAAGGCAGCGCAGGGCAGCGCAGTGGTGCCGCTTGTGCCGCCAGGATGAGGCCACCGGGCACCGTGTCCCTGCAGTGGGGCCATCACACACACCCCCAGCCCCAGCACGGCAGCAGCCAACCCACTGTCACTGCCAGCAGTGGATGGGGGGGCACGTGCTACCTTACCACTCATCAGTCCATATCCATCGCCTCGTCCTCCTCCACATCCACCTCCATCACCTCCTCCACCTTCACATCCACCTCCATCTATTCTTCGTGCAGCCCCACTTGGGTCCTGCTGGTGGCCTCTTCCTCCAGCTCCCGCATGTTTTGAAATAGCCTAAGGCAAAGGCCAAACAGAAGAGTGCATCGGTGCTGCCCAGAGCAGTGGAGCGCAGCTGTGGACCAGGGGTCTGGGCACCCCAGTCCCCTCTCACTGCCCGGGCAGAGCCATGGGGCGCTGGGACCCCAGGCACATCCCCAGCAGTAGCTGGCGGGAGGCCGGGGGCTCCTTGTCCAGCAGCACCCACCAACTCTGACAGGCTGGCACGTGCATCTGGAGGATCCTGTGCCTGCTGCGCTTCAGCACCTTGCGGGGTGGTAACAGTTTCAGGACCTGCCAGAGCAGAGAGGGCAGGGGTGAGCAGCCGTGCTCCCTGCCTGCGGGCTTATAAAAGGTGCAAGCAAGGACAGGCGGCGTGGGAAGAATACAGGGATGTTGTCTGGGAAGCTGAGGACCAGGTTAGGAAAGCTAAGGCCCAGTTAGAATTAAACTTGGCTAGGGATGTTAAGGATAACAGGAAGGAATTCTATAGGTACGTAGCAAATAAAAGACAGACTAGGAACAACATAGGCCCCCTCTGGAAGCTATCAGGAGACTGGCTACCCTGGATTTGGGGAAGGCTGAGGTTCTATAACCTATTGCTACAGGATATGATGAACACTAGATCTCTTGATTTAAGGAATGTAACATTCTTCCTAGGTGTAGCTTTTTGTAAAAGAAGTATGAAATAGATGGAATCTTTGTGACTTAATGCTAGATGAATAAACTTTAAGAAAGGAATTAGATGTATTTACAGAGGATATGTGTTTTGACGGCTGTTTTAAAAGGATGGCTGCAGGTAACTAACTCAGGGAAAACCTAAACAACTAGTTCCAAAGCTGAAAATGTACAGAAGTATCTCCCAGTAGTTGCTTTACGCGTTTTCCCAGAGCACATGCTAATTGCCACTCTTATAAACTGAACACTTAGCTAGATGGGCCGTGGTTATTTTTTAAATACATGAGGCAAGCATTGTTCTTGAAGAAATTGTCCTTTCCAGTAGTAGGAAGATGGAGGCCATAAAAAAAAAAAGAACATATAAAAGTAATTTGTTCTATTAAGATGAGGCTGTTCCTCTGATTTTTGTAGTATGCTTTTATCAAAACTATTTTCATATGGGTTTACATAGTAATCATAGAAGAAAACTTTCATCAGTTCCTTAATGCCCTTTTCTTTGTTGATGTTAATAATAACGGGTTAGACAGTGAATGGTTTAGGAGCCTTCAATTCAGTAGGCCAAAGATCACGTTTTAAAAGTGCATTTCTCCTTTAAACCCAGTTTGCTAGTTTGGAAGACGATTTTCAAAGAACAGCATGTTTGGTGCCTGAAGAACAGGGAAATTGCTCTTAAGGAATTTTGAACATGTCATCTTGGGAGTTATAATTTTTATTTGTCAGCATATTTGCTTTTGGTTTTGCTTAAAAGTCTATTTGATTTTGTATTCCCTGGCAGTCTTCTCCCAGTGCAATTGGGTTTATATCAGATACTTTGTACTGAAGTTTTTTTGTTCCAGGTGTTATATGGTAATCCATATTTCTTCTCACATTGTTTTAACTTTACAGTTTTTCTTCTTTTTCTTGTTTTTAAGTAACTGAGTTTATAAAACATAACTTTTTGAAAGTTGGTCTTTCATGAACTTGGCAGTGGACCTTTCACTGCTGAGCTTAATTCCTTAAGATATTAATGCTAATAGAGTTGTTTTCCTGTCAAAGCTGCCTGTGCTAATCAGCGCCCTGACCTATTTGGTTGTGCTATTGCCCAAGTGGGAGTGATGGACATGCTCAAGTTCCACAAGTACACTATTGGCCATGCTTGGACCACTGACTATGGTTGCTCTGACCGTAAAGAGCAGTTTGAATGGCTGTGCAAGTAAGTGCCTTTAAATACCTCTGTGGTTGTTAAAATGCATAGTCTGCTGAACAGTTTCAGGTTGTCATGTTCGATATCTAGTCTAAGAATTACTTCGTCCTTTCCCACACTAGATTTGAGGAATGCAGCATTTCCTTACAAGTCAGTTTCGCATGAAAGATTATCTTCAAAGCCCTGCTGAGTCAACTGGTCATATTTTCAAAGACCTTGTTCTACACAGCTTTACCAACTTGTAAGGTTTTCTTTCTGAATAATGACTCCTTTAGGCTGTCACAACAGAATATTCTCAGGTGAACTGCTACGTAAATGGTGTTTTTTACAATGGGGAGAGACAATCACCATTGTGAATTATATTATACAATGTGAACGGGATCTATTTGTAAGAATTAAATGGCCGTCACAGGGTATTCATTCATTTCCTAACTCCTTGCTGAGAGGTCTGGAAAGGTTATTAAAAAAAAAAAAGATAAAAATTAGAATTCAGTGTCAAGTCCAAATACTAGATGATCAGGTGGGACCATTGTAATTAGATTGTTTCAAAACCTTCAGTTGTCTAATCTAAGTCTTCCATGGAAAACATATTTTTGTGAATATAGTGCATGAAACAACTAACATTTCATAAGTTTTTATCAATGGATAAATTAGATTTTAGATAAAAGATTAACTCTTTTCCAAACAATCTTCATGATTTTGGACACTGAAATTTCCTTGCACATCTGTAAATTCAGATACTGTGAAGAGGCAAAGTAGAAGCAAAGTTTTAAATTCATTCTGTGATAAATACATCTGCAGCAAGGAGTCATTCCATACCTACTTAAACACATGCTTACTCACAAAATCTCAATGCATAATTTTAGAAACATCTTATATGGCAGAATCTGAAATATTTAGAATCATAGAATCATAGAATAGTTTGGGTTGGAAAGGACCTTAAGATCATCAAGTTCCAACACCCCTGCCATGGGCAGGGACACCTCACACTAAACCATGTCACCCAAGGCTCTGTCCAACCTGGCCTTGAACACCGCCAGGAATGGAGCAGTTACAACTTGCTTGGGGAACCCATTCCAGTGCCTCACCACCCTTATAGTAAAGAGCTTCCTCCTTATATCTGATCTAAACTTCCCCTCTTTAAGTTTAACGCATTACCTCTTGCCCTGTCACTACAGTCCCTAATGAAGAGTCCCTCCCCAGCATCCCTATAGGCCCCCTTCAGATACTGGAAGGCTGCTATGAGGTCTCCACGCAGCCTTCTCTTCTCCAGGCTGAACAGCCCCAACTTCCTCAGCCTGTCTTCATACGGGAGGTGCTCCAGTCCCCTGATCATCCTCGTGGCCCTTCTCTGGACTTGTTCCAACAGTTCCATGTCCTTTTTATGTTGAGGACACCAGAACTGCACACAATACCACAAATGAGATCTCATGAGAGCAGAGTAAAGGGGCAGGATCACCTCCTTCTTTCCCTCCTTTTCAATAGCTGGCAATTGCTTATCAAATTTAGGAATATTTATATTTAATGTTGCTTAGACAATACCTTTACAGACACTCAAAAAATACATTAAGGCAAATAGTGTTATGTAGTGGCTGTCATTTAACTTCTTTTCAAAACATATAATAGTCTGAAAATTCACTTACATTGTTCCATAGATGAAAATGAGGAAGCCAGGGATCTGCTAGGTTAGACATTCAAATGTTGTCACGTGTTCTTAAACATAATTTGGAGTTACTTCCTGGGTAGTCCTGCAAGTGAGAAATTCATTCAAAAATAAAGCAAAATTTCCTTCTGTATTTCCTGTCATGAAATAGGGGGGAAAACAGTATCTTACTCTTGATTTAAGGTATGTAAAATTCTCCGTGGGTTTAGCTTTGTCTAAATGAAGTATGAAATGTTTAGATGGAATTCTTTGTGGCTTACCTTTAATTTCTAATACTAGAGGGTACTTTTTGTTGAGGTATGTAGATACACCTTTTATGTTAAGTTACAGTAGCTAAAAGATGCACATTCTCCTGCAAAGAAAGGGAATTTTGAAAGTTAGATTGTTCATTGTTCAGCGGATAAGTATTGAAGTAATCTGTCAAAAGCAGGAAAACTTACAGCTCTTGTTTCTGTTTCCTGCATGGTGTTCCCTCAGTTTCCCCACTGCCTATTCCTGATATTTTTGGCATTTCTAGGTGGTGTATGCATATGCTTCTCTGAAATTAAAAAAATGTACTTGCTTCACACTTGAGAGCCAGAGTTTTGTGGCCACCATCAGTAGTTGCCAGTAATGCAGTTCTGATATATGCAACTGAAAACTGTAGTATTCTGGGTGTTATCAAATGCTACTGCGATGATTTCAGTATGAGACGACCTTCTTGTTGGATCTTGAGGAAAAAATATGTAAAGATTTGTGTGCTCTTCTCAGGTACTCTCCGCTTCACAATATCAAACTACCAGAAGAAGATGGCATCCAGTATCCCTCTACGCTGCTTCTCACAGCAGACCACGATGACCGTGTGGTCCCTCTTCATTCACTGAAGTTCATTGCTACTTTGCAATATGTTGTGGGCCGAAGCCGTAAACAAACCAATCCACTTCTCATCCATGTTGACACCAAGGCTGGGCATGGAGCAGGAAAGCCAACTGCTAAAGTTATAGAAGAAGTGTCAGATATGTTTGCTTTTATAGCACGATGCCTAAATCTTGATTGGATTGAATAGGCAAAATGCTTATTACTGTCTCCTATAGAAAATAAGGGCTTTAACACCATTTAAGACCAACCAGACTACTACTTGGTGTAGTACTTATATTTAAGAACTGCATTTTAATATTTTATTGATCCAAGCGGCTATGGAGTTTTGATCTTTTGTGCTTCCCTCTATTTGGCATTTCTTTGAACTTCTTTTCTACTGCATTCCAAAGTAACATTTTTAAACGCATGTTCAAATAAATGGCTGAGCTGCTGTTGGTGCTGTTGTGAACATTTAGATTCCAGGGTTAGTGCTAGTTGAGCTTATTTCCTGTAAACAATTTTAAGGTATTTTGCACCTATAAACATATCCAGATCATCTGTAATTAAATGTAAGTACTGTCCAAATACAGGCACTCTGAGCGTACTTTATTTACACAGTAACTTATTTAAGAATGTAAATTGAAGGTGTTAAGTGATAACCATGAAATACCGAAGAGATAGTAATCTGGGTAATTAAGTCAAATATTATTAAAAAGCTTGTATTACATGTTGTTCATAAGTGTGTTACAGTCTATAATAATGCTGTTTCTAAATTATTCTTTCTTTCCAAAGAGACTTTAAAATGTCACTGGTTTTCTCTTCTGTCATTTATTTCCACAGAGAAAATTGAAGGCTGGAAAATTTGAGGAGTTCTTAGATTCTCACAGTAATCTCAAGCAAGCTATACAGATACTGTTCAACACTGCATCTGCTGTCAGCTCTTTATCTATTCCTGAAGAGTAAACTAGACACTAGTTAAAAAAAAAAAAAAATTACAAAACATACACACACACCCCCCACCCCCCCAAAAAAAAAACAACACAACCCACCACCAAAACACCAAAACCATGGTTTTTTTTCCAGATTGTTCAACTTCCATTTTTGCTGATGTCTTTGACAAAATGTTCTCTAACAAGGCAAAATCTGAGCATCCGTATATAACCTAATTCTGGATGCAGAACAACAAGAGCTCATAGTCAGACTCCCTAATGTTTTGACACAGGCACAGTATTAGAGCTGCCATTTCGTATCTTTCCTATCTATAGATAGGCTTTAGAGCTACAAAGTCGATGTATTTGCCTACTCCATCAGTCTAGTCTAAACTGATGCACTGCAGCAACTAGGGTTTGATTTTACAGAGAAGAAAATCCTACCAATTATTATTAGTCTTGTTCCTCCAGAGAACACTGCTGCTTCTCAGTTTTGGATAAACTTTCTTCTAGAATCAAGCTGCTTGTTATATTGACACATAGACCCTAAGGCCTGTATTTTAACGCTAAGCAAACAGTGTCTCAGCACAGGAAGAGGAGGGAGTGGTATTTAAGAGGAGTAGGCTGCTGTAAACAGCAGCAACATTAAAAATAAATTTGCACCACATTCACTGTCTGTTCCTGTCATGCTCTGGGGCTTCTGCTGATTCCCTCTGCAATCCAGGAAGGATCATCCTGTCTAGGGCCTTATAATTTGATTTTAGGAAGGAAAAAAAAAAAAACATGTATTTCTGATTTCTTATGAAATACTACACCTAAAACCTGTATGTGATCTGGGTTTTATTTGTGATCCATGAGCATTATGGTTTTACCATGTACTTTACAGGACTGGTGCATTCTGACCACTACATTGATTTAAACAATCAGAATAGGGAGTTGAGGGAGGTATGTTTTTTTTTCCCCTCCAGGCTGCAAAACCAGGGCTCAGGTTCAGCACCCCCTATTCCCAGAGGTATGTGAACCGTTTTCTGTGATCCTCTGGGGATTTTCAGCAGCTTCCCTGAATGGCAGAAACAAGCGCATAAAGCAGTAGCATCCCCACTTGTAATACCTCACAGTTGCAGTATCTGGCCCTTTATTGAATGTCACAGTTACCAAGAGGACGAAGCTGCACCTCTGAGACAAGAACTTTGCGGGATAGTGTGTGTGGGAAACATGGTCCTCATGCATTCATGAAATAGAATGCACTGTGTCAGTGCATCGAATTGCAAAGGCTTGGGCACAGCCACCTCAATCATGTCTTGAGGTCTTTGTTTCTAAAAATGTTTTTCCTTCTTCTCCATAAAACTTCTGTCACAGATTAAAATTCATTTTCTTCCTGAGGCTTTCTGCTTTCTGCTCTCATATGGGGAGTTGGAAACAGGAATTTCTCTTTGAGCGGCAATCAGTAGTATTGAAGGTGGGTTACTAGAGACACCACTCACAAAGTAAGTGTTCAGAAGTATCACTTGTAGAATGCTGGTATCTATTGGGAAGGTGTTGTGCTTCTGTAACAGGGTGTTATTGTTGACATTTTTATTCATCTTAATCAGGATGCCAAGTCCAGGATTCAAGTGCCATAAAAGTAATGTTGCAGAGCTGTCTTATTAGCCAAGTTGCTCGTTTGGGTGCAGAAAGGGTCATGCTGCAACTGGGATCTGTCATTAACTCTGAGCGAGTAATGCTCTTGTAATACAGTGGGATTTAAACCTTCAGAGTTTGTATTAAATAGACCTGGAGCCAAACCATTCCTGCTGTATGAAACCTAATAAAATCTTTGTTAGTCTGGTTTCAAGGTTGCCTTCATTTCTCTACAGTGGAAATGCTATTTTATGAAGAGGCTCTGTATTTTATGCCTTTTATTTCCAGTACATAAAGCAAAATTCACTAGCTGGGTAAGGTAACCTCCTCACAACTACCTGCTTTTTCAAAATCATGTTTCTTAGAAAAATAGTTACCAATGTTTTGTGGCAAAATCAAAACCAGAAAAATCTTTGAAGTCCTGTAAGAGGACTAAACATGAACTAAAATCTACTTTTAAGTGGAAATAAATTGACTTTTTTGGATAATTGCTCCTTCTGATACTCTTCACAACTCATGTAAAGCTATCTTCATAATCTTTGCTCCCATGAGATTACTTTTGCATCAGATTTGGTTTCTCTGAAAAAGGTCAGAAGTATTTTTAAAAGCTGAGAGCCTTCATATTCTTCACAGAGAGAGTTATTTAAATTCCTTTGCATCAGAGTTGTTATATTTTGGTAGCTAAAAAAATAAAAAGTACTGACTTGAGATTGGTGCTGCGCCCTCCCCAGCAGCATAACCACCAAGATCTATGGGTGGAAAAAAGCATCTGGCCTGAGGATGTGTAAGAATAAGGGACACTCAAGACAGAGGTAGGAGACACCTGTTCCTGGCACCTAGAACCTCTCCTATTTCACCAGGATTTTCTTGACTTGACTCTGCTTTGCCATCTGTTTGTAGGAAAGCAGAAACATGAGCAGCAGTACATTAGGAGTCGATACGGCAAGCAAGAGCTTTCAAACATCTATGTTGTTAGGTCATTTATTTATTTTCAGCCTGAGGTAGCCCCTCAGGATTGCCTGAAGATTAGACTCTTCCTCACAGCCTTTTCTGTGAAAGGGATTTTCCAAGCCGAATAGGATTTAGGAGGAAGGGACTTGGAAGCCAAGCTAGTAAACAACCACCCCAATTTTCTGCCAAGCTCTTCTACTTTGAAAATCCTTAATGGACAGCTTTTGTGCAATTGCCTCTTTGTGCAGACCTCTCAGGATTTGGATAGTCAATGCTGTTTGAGCAGCCAGGGTTGGCAACTTTGTTCATTTCTCCGTATGTTCTTTTAATTACTTCTGCCTTACCATACTGCATGCCAGGAAAAACAAAAATGCAGAACTCTGGCTTTTTTAGTTTTTTTCCTTGCAGGAGGGGAAGATGGGGTAGCCTTCCAATTCTCATGTCTCTGAAGGTAACCAAGGTGTGTCCTCAAGATAATGTTACTCTTGATTAGCCATTTCTGAATAAGCTCATGTCTTTGGTTTATTCATGGCAGAGAAATCCCAGTGATGGAGTCCCTCTATGGGGGCTGGACTAGCTACTGACATCTGCAGAAATGAACAGAAATTCTGGACTAGGAGGACTGTGATTTGGCCATTTCTCCTATTTTTCCATAAGATTAACTGAAAATATAACATTTAAAACTGAAGCTGAGCAATAACATGTCAGTAAGAGTTTCTGTTCTATAGCCACCCCTCTGCCTGGTTAGCAAAACTAGCAAAGGCAAGGAACAAATGTGATGCTCATGTCCTTACCCATAATAGCAAGCAAGTTTAATGCGGAAAGTCTGAAAGGCAAGAGTCAGCTTGTGATTTTCACTAAATATTTCTAGCTTCCACAGCAGCTGCACCACGAGAACTGAAGTCCATGGATGACAGTTTCTAGCCCACTGTGTGCTGTTCAGAAGACGACAGTTTGTGCATGTGCACTATTTGCAATTCCTCTTAGACCTTCTGTGTGCAAAAATGAAGGAGACATTGTTCTTGAACCCATCAAACTGGGGAGCACATGCTAGTTTTAATATGCCTATTAGGTGGGTCCAAAGAAGGGTAACAAAGCTAGTGAAGGTCTGGAGAATAAGTATCATGAGAAATGGCTGAAGGAACTGGGGTTGTTTAGTCTGGAGAAGAGAAGGCTCAGGAGGGGACTTTATTGCTCCCTACAACTACCTGAAAGGAGGTTGTAGCAAGGTGGGAATTGGTCT